TGTTTATTTTTCGAACAAAGTTAGAACAACTCAACTTGAAATTACATATTTAATTTTTTTCTCAAAAAATGTTCAAACTTGCCATGCAGTATTATGGAAAATTTCCACATGCATCATACATTATTAGCTATGTAAACCTTTTATTTAATTTAAACTTAGAATTTATACATCAGGAAACCAAATGAGAAGTAACCCAGCGATATTAAATTCTTTTAGATTAATGTCTACCTGACTTTTTATGTCCATGTATTCTTAGTTCATTAGCTTTCTTTCTCTAAGAGATGGCTGTTGTCCCCCCTGGACTCTGTAAGCTGGAGTTCCCAGGACAGGAAGCATAGAAAGGTTAACTAACCTTGGCTATATACTGTAAAAAAAAAAAAAATGTTTTTTTATGTGCCAAGGCTTTATGTATAGAGGTCTCACTTAAGATAATGGTACTCATCTCCAAGGATGTTTGAATAAAATTTTAAGCTAAAATGTAGCAATGAAATTGTAGGTTGGTGTGAACCTCAAAAGAGGTAATCATGCTATTTGTCTAGTAACTAGTAAACTAGTAACTGTATCTAATAACTGTAGTAGAATATTAAGCTTCATGCCTAGGCCGTTGCCTTTCTGAGATAACAACTGAAACTCTTTATTTTATGGTTGAGGATGCTGAGCTCTTATGAAAGGAAACCTGTGTTGAGTACCTAGCTCAGTTCCTTGCACATAGTAGATACTCAGTAAATATTTGTGCTATTGGAATGAGCTTACAATATTTAGTTTTCTTTTGGATAGAATGATGACTAAGACTCAGACCTTTCCTTTGGAGAGTTATGTCCTAAATAGGGAGACTAAAACATATTCACAAATTATTTTAAACTAGCAGAACCTGATTATTGTATTATGTAACAGAGATACAAATAAAGTATGAAAGAGGATTAAAGGAAAGGAAGCCTATGTCTGATTGTTGAGGTGGAAAGTCACAGATGGTGTTGGGAAAGACTTCATAAAAAGAAGCATTTAAGACTGCTTTCGTAAGTTAAGATTGCAAGAGGCAGAGGTAGATGAAGAGAACACTACCATATAAATGGACTTAAATGTTGCAGTTAGGACAAAGATTGTCAAGCTGAATACAATACCCAAATCCAACTGTATGCTGTCTAGAAATGTGACTAAAATAAGTGTTCAAAGTAAATGAAGGAGAAAGATATATAAATGATAACCAAAAGAAATCTCGTGTAGCTATATTACTATATCAAATTAGATTTTAAAACAAAAACTTTTCCATCATCCTTTTCTTTCTCTCATAACCCATCCAAGGTCCTACAACTAAAACTTTTCAAATATGACCACTTCCCGTGCTTTCACTTCTACTTCTCCTTTTCATCACTTCTCATCTGGGAACCACAATAACCTAATAATTGGCCTTTTTCCTTTCATTCTTGTCCCATGACAGACTTCTCCATTCGTATTCAGATGTGTCAGAACACATTGCTACCCTGCTTAGAAAGGCTTCCCATTACAGTTAGGAGAAAATTGAAACTCCTGAGTATTGTGGACATGTGTTGTTTCTGATCCATGTTTTCTGTCCCTCAACCTTGCTCAGTTTGTTCCTGTTACATACTGGTCATCTTTCTGTTACTTGAACCTGCTAGAAGTGATATTATCACCAGGTCTTTGCAGGTGTTTTCCCTTCTGCTTAGAACTTATCTCTGCCACATTTTTATATATTTGTATGCATTACTTCATTGCTTCGGTTCTTTGTGCAAATGTCACCTCCTCGGAGAAGCCCTCCTTGATTACCTATCTAAAATACCCTATCACAGGCCACCCCCTTATAATTTTTAAATTTATAGCACTTAATATTACATAGTACTTCATTTTTTAATTGTCTCACTTTTAGAATGTAAGTTCTAAAGATTTTTATTTGGAACTTACCTGTACCCCCAGTGACTAGAACAGTGACTGACATATGGTAGGTGTTCAAATATTTGTGGAAGTGACTTTAAAAAAATTTTTAAAAAATTGCATACACTAAAATTCACTTTTTGGTTATGGCTATACTCTGACTTTTTGTTCCAATTCTCTATTCCTGATATCTTTCCTGAATGTCAGTTCCCCATTTAAACAAATGTCACTTCCCCAGTTGTCATTGTGCTTCCTCAAACTCTATTAAAATTAAATTGAATAACAACAAAAAAAACCCCATCTTAAAATAACAGACAAAAACCTTACCAAATCCAAAACAAAATAACTATTCTTCTAGCCCAAGTTTTGATTAGTTATGTTGGTAGCTACCCATTTGCTCCATCTAGAAACCCTTTCATTCTCATTTTCTCATCCTCCCACTCCTCTGTCCCATGCTGTATGTACACACTCAGTCTTCCCCCCGGTTATACACCTCTTGACTCTCTTTTTTCCTTTTTGGCATTAGTTCAGGTCCCAGTCATCCTTGACCTATACTAATGTGATATTCTTTTAGCCTACCTCCTTATCTTTGTGCTCTTTTGCCTTCTGTTTTATCTTCATGTTGCTGCCAGGATTACCCTCATATTTTTAATATTTTTATTTTATATTTTTTATTGTCCTTATATTTATTAAGTTTCAGATTATAAGCTATCCAGCGCTGGTGTGGCTGGTATAGCATCATCAGGGATTCAGGTTCATTCTTTCTGTTTTGCTGTCCTTAGCAAGTAATTTCTTCTTTATGCCTTATGGTCTGTGATTGCTGCTGGTATTCTAGTGTCCTTATCTGTTTTTGGTCAAAAAGAAGTAGAAAGAGCAAGAGTATCCATCAGCCCTCTGGTTAAGAGACTTCTAGGGATTCCAGCCCAGGGACTTTTCCTCACAATACTTGGCCATTCCTAGCTGTTGGGGAGGCTAGGAAAGCCTTTTAATGTGGTACTTGCAAAAGAAAAATTCTGTTAGAAAAGAAAAGGAGAGGATGGATTTGGGGTAGGAAACCAGCAGTATCTACCATCCCTGTGTTTCACCCGCTGAGATGCTTTCATGATCCCAACTTAGCACTTACTTTTGTGCTTCCTAACTTTTGCTCATGCTTTTGTCTTGCCCTAAATGTGTCCTTTTCTACTTGGTTACCTACTACTTTTCCATAAGATTGAATTAAATATAAACTCTTAGGTATTATTAAATATAACTCTTAGGTGAGAAACAATGCCTTTCTCTGGGTTATCTCACACACTTGTATAAGTGAGCAATTATAGCATACAAATCAGGAAAAAAAGTAAAATACAAAATTTGACCTAGAGACAAGGTATAATGTTTAATTCTTCTTCTTTCCCTAACCAAGAAATTTGACATTTTGATATATATGCTTAAACCTTAAATGTAATCTTTTTAAAGGTTAATTGTGTCAGAGAAGAAATGTCAAGATACTGTGGAAAAGAAAAGGATTCGATGAAAGCATATTTATTCAGGTAAGCTATTTTTTTGAGTGTGATGGACAGATATAAAGCTGTACTTTTAGAATATTCAAGTGTTAATATATGAAATATCACAGAGCCAGAATAAAGTTGTATGTAGTGGGGATCATATGAAGCCTAACAGAAAGTCACGTAATAGATTTGTTACCTAACATCTCTGTACTTTAACTCCTTTATTTACAAAACGAGGAAAGTAATACCTACTTCACACGGTTGTTTTGAATATTACATACAACTTTTAAGTAAACTCCTACTACAAATGCCCGGTAAGTAAGTGGTTAGCAAATACAGTGTTCTGAGTAGGTTCATATTTGGGTGTGAAATAAATCCCTTCTCTTCGAAGGATCTGCCAATGTCCAAGTTACAGATTCCTCTGTGCTTGGATTTGTTAATCTGTCTGAGGTTTCTCAGATTCTTTCTTCAAACCCTTGGGATTTGGCCTAGGAAGTAGGGAGAGATTCTTTTTCCTAAAAGTCCTACTGATGAGGACATTTATTTTTCTCTCCTGCTTGTCTTCTTCCCAGCCCAGTTTGGGGAATCTGTGTGTGTGTGGTTGTTAAAGGGGGGTTTAGTAAAGAGCCTAGGGTTGGACTCACTTTTTTTTAACCTGTGTTTTTGCCAGGTCCAGAGCCTAAGCTTTTATAATAAAATTCAACATATTTATCGAGTGTATATGCAATAAATATGAGAATGTATCATGTACCAGCACTCTGGTAGGTGCGTGGGGTACATGGATAAAGACACAGGCTCCAACATGAAAGAACTTATAACCCAAGGTATTAGACAGACAAGTAAATTGAATTCTAAGGAAATATTTCTGTAACATGTTTTTAAACTTTTTATAGAGGCAACATATTGCTCAGAGAATTCCCTACTGACACCCTGTTTGATGTGAATGCCATCGTTGCTCATGTTCTCTTGTAAGTACAGGGGGTATCTATTGACTTATTCACTTGTTACTTATCTATTGATTTCATTTCATCTACTTATTTATTTTTGAGGCAGGGCCTCACTCTGTTGCCCAGGCTGGAGTGCAGTAGTGTGATCATAGCTGACTGCAACCTCATAACTCCTGGGCTCAAGCAGTCCTCCTGCCTCAGCCTCCTGAGTATCTGGGACTACAGGCATGTGCCACCACATCCAGCTAATTTTTTTTTTTTTTTAATTTTTTGTAGAGACAGGGTATTGCTATATTGCCCAGGCTGGTCTTGAACTCCTGGCCTCAAATGATCTTCCCGCCTTGGCCTCCCAAAATGCTAGGATTACAGGCATGAGCCATCCCACCTGGCCTGATTTCATTTTTGACAACCACAGTTCATTAAAATATTTTAGCTTTTTAACATTATATTTGTAGGTATCAATTTCATACAAATCACTGTTGTATCTTCCCACATTAACAATCTAAAATTTCATTAATGGCGAAGGATACAGAAACATGTATTAATACATACTTTTATAAAAGTAGGAGATGACTCAACAAGACCACATGGTCATATAATTACTTTTGATTCTTCTTGTGGAGTGAGGATTTTGCCAGATATCTTAGTCTATTTAGGCTGCTATAATAAAGTTCTGGAGTCTGGGAAGTCCAGGATAAAGGTGTTGACAGATTGAGGGCCCCTGGTTCATGGATGACCTTTCCCTATGTCCAGTATTGAGGATCCTGTTATCTGAACTGGATAGCCTGTGGGGCTTGTCTCATCCAATCGTGCTGTAGCTGTGCCCTCTTCTTAGTGCAACAGTAGTGCTGATTTAGAACACAAATTCCACAAATAGATTGTTCCCATGTTTTTGCTGTGTGCCAGACACTTACTAGGCAATGGGGGTAAAAACAGAATAGGATGTGGCTTCTGTTGTCCAGGAATTTAGAGTTTGTTGCAGAGACAGATAGAGAAACAAATTATAATGTGGTAAGTAAATAGTGGCAGTATGTATGCATAAGGGCTAATGGGTCGCCAGAGAAGTAAATAGTTACTGATGTCTAGAGTGAAGGTGGATATTTACTAAGTGGGCTTCCTGAAGGAGGTGGCAGTTGGGATAACTCTTAAAGGATAAGTGCTTAGTGAAGAAGAGGATGGTGGGAAAAGCAGGAAGAACTGTGTGACAGAGACATAGAGTTTAGAAATAGTTTGGAGAAGGTGGTTTTGCCAGAGTATAAAATGGAGATGAGAGTAGAGAAGTAGGCATGGGGTCAGATGAAGGGGGTGCTTGTTTGTTTTGTGTAGATGCTTAGGCTTTTCGGTAGTCACCGAAGGAAGAGTCCAGCTCCAGGCCAAAATCCTTGTGCAATCTTTCATGACCATATGCAATTACAGGGCTTCGCCCAGCAGGCCTCATGGTGGGCAGCTGCCCTCACTGTGCCAGCCTTGGTGCACACCCAGTGCATTGCAGTTTTCTGGAGAAAATAAGGGTGAAGGACTCGGTCCCCTCCCCCTCCTAATCCTTTAGGCCAGCCATGGTCATATGTACAGCTACTTTCTTAGCCCAGGTGCCTCCATTTTGAGGTCTCCTTGTAAGAGCCCTGCTAAGGTACCTTTTAGGTGCTCCTGCTAAGACCTTATCGCGTGTCCTGACTAAGGTGCTTTTCTCCACTTTTAGCCAGTACCTTTTTACCCCAATCCCTTATCCCTTTTCTTACCCCAAGTCCATGAAGAGGCAGGGGCCTTTTGTTTGGGGCTCCTTGGAATGAGGTGATTTCTTGTGTCCCCTCTGCATCCATGTAACCCTATGTTGCCATTCCAAGGGATTGAAAAATGTAACACTGTAGAGCCAGTGCCTCTCCATTTTGCATCTTGCTTGCACTGTCCTAGTAAGTGAATAAAGTCTTGATTGTAACTTTTAGTTTGGCTCATTTTCCTAATTGACCATCTCAACACCTCATTGTTTAACAAAGAGTTATAGGCAGGCAAGTGATGTGATCACATTAGTATTTGAGAGATCTTTCTGGTGGATGTGAAACATTTATTGGGTTTGAGCACATATAGAAACCATTGTGAGACCATTGTATAATCTTGGGAGGTAGAGTAGAGATAGCAAGGAGGGGATTTTCTTTTTAATACTTAGGAGATTAAAACAACTGGACTTGGTAACGGTTAATTTGGTAACAGCAAAACTACAGATTTGTGTTAATCCCTGATCCATCTCTTTTACTTCTTTGTCACCTCACTCTACCCAGATGCAATCTGATCACCATCTGAAGAAGGCAAGGAAAAAGAGCAAATTCACAGATGAGTCTCCTTTAACAAGTTGAATGTCCATCATGCTTCAGTGTCATATAGGCAGCTGTAGGAATTTGAACCCCTGAGGAATACACATCTAGGTGTTGTCAGCATATAAGTCATCCAGGGAGCATTCTAGGGCAATACCACCTACCACTTAAGGGAAGAAGAAATTGAGAGAAAAAAATGTCAAGGAAGTAGAATTCCGAAGAAACAATGTCTTCATTTTTGTTTAAAATCTAAGAAAATTACTTGTGGAATACAGTATTTTACAGAATTTTCTGGCAGCGATATTTAGAATGTTGAAGAACTATGCCAAATAGTGTGCTGTATCATAGCTGTACCTTGGAAATTGCCATGAGGAAAAAAAATGCCTTTCAACCTATCATCCTACTTTTGTGTGCTTGAAATGTTTTGCTTGCTTTTCTATTGTGTTTTAAACTTTGCTTATTTCGAGATGGGGGTCTTGTCAGGTTGCCCAGGCAGTGGTTATTCACAGGTGCAATCATAGTGCAGTGCAGCCTTGAACTCCTGGTCTCAAGGAATCCTCCTGCCTCAGCCTCCTGAGAAGCTGGGACTACAGGTGTGTGCCACTGCACCCAGCTTAAATTTTATTTTCGTTAATTTATAGGCACTCTCCTTATATGAAGGAGACAAAAACTGCAAAATTTTTTCCCAAGTTTTTCATTTATCTTGTGGATTTTCCTATTGTGTTCTTGAAAAAATTATGTAGTCAAATTTATCTTTTTTCTTTTGACTTCTGGATTTTCAGTTGTATTATGGTCTCCCTTATGCCATTGTTATGAAGAAATTCACCTATTTTTGGGATGTTTCAGTTGATGGAGTTCGTTTTTTAAAGAAGTTTTAGATTTACAGAAAATATTTACAGAACACTGAGCAGATAGTACCTAGAATTCCCATATATCTCCTTTTTCCATATACAGTTTTCCCTATTATTAACATTTTGCATTAGTGTGGTAGAGTTGTTACAATTGGTGAACCAATATTGACACATTATTTTTAACTAAAGTACATAGTTTACATTAGTATACACTCTGTGTTGTACGTTCTGTAAGTTTTGACAAGTGTAATAATGACTTTTATACCATTAAAGTATCATACAGAGTAGTTTTCCCTGAAAATCCCCTGTGCTCTGCCTATTCATCCTTCCCTTCCTCCCCTGCAAACCACTGATCTTTTTATTGTCGCTAGTTTTGCCTTTTCTAGAATGTCATATATTTGGAATCATACAGCATATAGCCTTTTCAGATTGGCTTCTTTTACTTAGCAATATGTATTTAAGTTTCTTCTATGTCTTTTCTTGGTTTCATACCTCATTTCTTTTTATCACTGAATAATAGTCCATTGTATGGATGTACCATTATTTGTTTATCCATTCACCAGGAGGGACATCTTGGTTGCTCCCAGGTTTTGGCAGTTGTGAATAAAGCTGCCACACACATTCATGTGCAGGTTTTTTGTGTAGATGTAAGTTTTCAACTCATTTGGGTAAATACCTAGAGGTAAGATTTCTGGATCATATGCTAAGACTATGTTTAGCTTTGTAAGAAACTACCAGATTGTCTTCCAGAGTGTCTGTCCATTTTGCATTTCCATCAGCAATAAATGAGAGTTCTTTATTGCTCCACATCCTTGCCAACATTTGGTATTGTCAATTTTTAAAATTTTCGCCATTCTAGTAGATATGTAGTGGTGTCTTATGATGTTGAATATCTTTTCATATGCTTATTTGCCATCTGTATATCTTCTTTGGTGGAGTGTCCAGATCGTTTGTTCATTCTTAAAATTGAGTTTTCTTATTATTGAGTTATAAGAGTTCTTTTGTATGTTTTGGGTACAAATCCTTTATCAGATACATGCTTTGCAAATATTTTCTCCCAGTTTGTGGCTTGTTTTTTTCATTCTCTTAATAGTTTCTTTTGTGGAGCAGAAGTTTTTAGTGATAATGAAAGTCTAACATAACAATTTTTTCTTTCGCAGATTGTGATTTTGATGTTTTATCTTAAAACTCATTGCCAACACAAGGTCACCAAGATTTTCTCCTATTTTATCTTTTAGAAATTTTATAGTTTTACATTTTACGTTTAGGTCTGTGATCCATTTTGACTTAATTTTTGTGTGAGGTATAAAGTCAGGGTCTAGTTTAATTTTTTTTGCATGTGGACGTCCAGTTCCAGCACCCTTTTTTGAAAAGATTATCCTTTCTTCATTGAATTGCCTTTGCTCCTTTGTCAAAGATCAGTTGACTATATTCATGTGTGTGTGTACTTCTCTTAGTATTTTTATTAATATTTAAATATTTGATCTGTTTGGAATTTAACGTGGTAAATGGTGCTGAGGAATAGATTTAGATGAATATTATTCAGGTGGCTACCCAGTTGCCCCCAGTACAACTGAGATTAATGGACCTGTTTGCTATTTGAGTGCCACATATGTTTAAACTCTCATACGTATTTGGGTCTATTTCTGGATTTTCTGTTTCATTAATCTGTTCACATACCAGCACCATTGGCTTAATTTATTGAGGCTTTGTAATGTAGTATCAGAAAAGTCTAGGCTACTTCATATTTCTCTTTTCAGAATTACTTGTGTTATTTATATATGTTATGTATACACACATATATGTTTATATATGTTTATTATTATTTAAAATTAGCTTGTCTAGTTTTTTTCCCCTCCGT